TATATATATATATATATATATATATATATATTGCAACACGCGAGTTCGAATGGGCTTCGATTTTTTCACTGAAGGTATGGTGCAGATTTTTGTGCTAATTATACAACACTTCTATCTTTGGATGCTGACATGTGTTAAACCATTCCGTCTGCGCCATATTGTTTAATCTCATTGAATTACGTGATTTTTGTTCTCAATGGAATTAACGCTATATAAGAGCAGAGAATGTAGGTTGACATATGAAGATTGTAGCATGCGGCTGTTGTACTCCTGCTATAGTCTATGATGTACATTGTATGACAGTCGCTCTCAACCCGACGTGGACTGTTCGTTACGATCTAAATGGATAGAGGTAAAATTAATATAATATATCAAGGTTCGTGTAGCTTTTTCCGATTGCTGATGGGAGAGTCACTCTAGATTAAATTTCCTATGCTCACCGCCGTGTACCTTAGATTACGTCAGACTTTCTTCTCGGAAATACAGTACTTTTCTCAAATACCAAACCCCATACTTTCTAGATTAACAAATTCACTTTTACAAGCCCGCGACGTGAAGACTGAAAAACTTTGGCCCCCAAAATACTTCGTTAGACTATTCGAAATAAACTGTCTCACTTCTAGGCGAATGGTTAAAACTGCGACCACTACAAAGTCTGGCTTTTGGTCTGGCGGCACTATGTCTACGTATATAACAGACGCTCAGCCCCCTAAAAAGCTAAGTCTGACGCTTACGAGTGCATCACTGAAAACTCTAGAGATACTTGGTTCAAACATGCTGCCCCATACTGCTCAGAAAATGAGAAACAAACCTGTATATATCATGTTTTTCCAACCTGTCATGCACTTATTCAATTATTGTTATTTTTAGCGGCATGGAAGTGTTTCCATTGTTATATAACTCATTCCAAAGACATCCACATCCTTAACTTGTTTGGCGACCGTGAACACAAAATAGGTGTAGTTCAAAGGACACGCAGAAAATTGCTCAGCCGTCCAAGAATAGCGATTCGCAACGGCAGTAGGATATGGGCAATTGCTAATATACCGAAGGTATGTCAGTACTGGCAATAGGCTGTATCATTTTATTAATATAAAGTTTGTTCATTATTATATGCGACTTGAATTCAATAAGCATCTATTCCTTCTGTATTACATTTTCTGAG